CTATTCTTTGCCATGGGGATTATAAACTGTCAAAACCGTCAGGTAAGCCCGAGTGTCGTTTGACGCCCCAGAGCGTAAGATTGATTCAGGGGAGGGGTAGGGTCTATTTGAAAATTAATTTCAATTAGGTTGGTAAACCTTCATTCAATTTTTGCATAATCAGCAAGTTTGGTTAGGTTAGGTTATAACAGTTTTATTTCATCCCTAAAACAATTTTTTTTCTCATCCCCCCCCGGTCGATCTTTCCACCCCATACCCTCCGCACCGTGGAACCTGTCACTGATACCTGGCTGGCACTCGCCCCTCGCCACAACAAGCCTCAGGCTCTAAAATGGCCCTCGTCAAAGTGTTTAGGCAAACGGCACTGGGCACTCGGCCCTGCACTCAAATGCGATCTCCAAAACGTGGTGTAAAATTAATTGTTTAATTTTTTCTCAAAGAGCCCTTCTGAGGCACACTTTCTTGTACAAAACGTACCAATTTTATAGGGGCCATAAATAACAGCTTGTACTACCCACAGACAGTGCTCAAACATGCAATCCTCAAGAAACACACTGGTAGGCAGTAGGATAAAATTTTATTTTATGCCCTAAGACATGTTGATGTTCAAATCGCAATTTTCATTGATTACTCTTTCATACTTTGTTTTTTTTTTCAACATTAGTTCAGTAATACGTTGTATTAATAATCAAAGGTAAAACCTAACAAACGTCGAGATTTTAAATCGAGTTTTCTATTCTACTCTCATCCTTCACTCATATTTGGGTTAAAAACGCACATAAGTGGCGCCCCATCTCAATTGATAATGATAATGTTCATACAATGTACTAAAACTGTTCGAAACCTATGGTTAAGGCCATAGTAACATTTACTAAACTGCAGTTTACCTTTATTTACTGGGGTTTTAATAAAATCCTAGCCTAATTTACAGCTACGTAACATTACGAACATCACGTATTCTATTTAAAGAAATATTGATCACAAAAATTACTTTTTCTTAATAAATCGAGATTTCCTGAAAGTACAGTACAGTGATAAGTACTTTATACAGTATCAGAATGAGTCAGTGTTACTAGTCGCGGGTCCGCAGGTCATTCTCGCTATCCAAGGTTGGTACGCCTGATAATGATATGGTCTGAAGTAGAGGGTCCACTTCCACTACCACAACCGACCTCACCGGATCCACGTTAGTTTCTCCCGTCTCTAGAAACCGGTTCTTCGCACGCTCTCCAAGTAAGAATCGATTATTTTAATTATACACATTTTATTTTACTGCGCAGTATCTTAGACAGACACTTAGTTATAACAATTTTTAAGTTGGTCGACGTAGTTGTAAATTTGTATAAAGGTTTACGATACTTCAGTAGTACTGTGTTTTTTTAATTACTCCTATTTCTAAATCGAATTTTATTTTAACAGTGTTTTACTAAACAGATACATTCACGTATTTTTCTTATGATGAATTTGTTAAATCTTCAATGTAATAGGAGCTTGCACGATCCTGTGTGATTTGAACATGCGCCAACAAGCCAATTTAGTTGGCAACGTGCTGCCTTTTAGTTTTTCGTAAAAGCTTGTATAGTAAATAATCTACCAATTTACTATGTCAATTTGCTATAGACGTTTAGTACATGCTGACGTTATTATTTTTAGAATAGGGTTTTTTTCACAACAAATTAAGATAATACACGAGAAGTTAATTTGAACAAGCATGTCGCTGTAAACTTTTGGAACACGCGTTTTGATGTTAGATAAAACACACATTATTATAGGTATAGATTTAACATTTACAATTTTATAAAGTGATTTTGCAAATCCTGTGTGTGCTACTACGACGAATAAATGCCCTGTACTACACCTTCATTCACATAATAGGCTTTGTCACAGAGATATATAAGTGACAAAATCAATTCTATATCTAGCTGTGCATATATGGATTGGAAATATTCAAATATTCGTAACATTATCTTTATGAACTGCTTTAATAAATCACATGATAAGTTGTAGAATATGCCTATTTAGAAACAAAGAGTCGGACCTTAATGTTATTAATGATGCACAGCTTCTAATGCTCCAGGAGTCTAGGAATCCCCTATTGAAACAGTTTTGTAGTCAAGTGCAGCTATTTTATTCAGGTGAACCGTTAAAGTGAATTGGCAATTAAATCTCCATATGTATTTTTATTTTATCTTCATCTCTAATAAGCTCAAGAATCTTTGACGAGGAGTAAAATTGTTATGCTGTTGAGTTTCAAATAAGTACTGAATTTAATCTTTTGTTAATATTACTATGGAATCAGCCTAAACCTTGAAAAATATCTATGTGGCATGAAAAGCGTCAAAATCGTGACTATATTCATAACGTGTTTTTTGTTATATGAGGACTCCAAATAAAAAAGTTGTTATTACAGCAGTTTATTATGTTATAACAGATAAACTAAGTTTTACATTATTAAAAACCCGTTTAATTATTCAAGTCTTATTACCTCAATGATAATTTTATCTTTAAGTTTTAGAGTTAATTAAAATTTTTTTTACTGACTCAAGATGAATGCTATATTATAGTTTTGTATAATTTACTATCATCATAACTCCTGTTACATTTAATAATTAAAGTACTTAAATATGAGAGGTTTTATTTCAAATTGAGCGTTATGTGATTTAAAAAACTTGTTAAACTACACTGACCCCATGTTGGTAAAGAGCACACTGCTCTGAAGTTATAAGTTTACTATGGAAGGTTATGGCCTTACAGCTGTTGTCCTTGGACTTGACCTTCAGCGACCTTCATTTCCTCTTCCCATGCACCAAATCCTATGTTTACTACTTCCACAGTTTTTGCTCACTTCACCACAGTTTTTGTTCACTTCACCACAGTTTTTACTTGAAACATAATGAAATAATAACACTGTTTGCACTAGAACAAGAGCGATGCCAATTTTTATTTAATTAAACTCAATTATTTTTGTATATTAAACTAGCCACCCGTGCCTTGCAAAGATGCAGAAGAGACAATTTTAGTTCCTTGAAAATAATGGCAAACAGCTTGAGAACGCTTAAGAGAGCAATTATTATGTTCCCTAGATCTGCTGTATGTAGATAGACTTTTATTAATTTACTATTAGTATTAACTGGCTAAAAAAACATAACTGTAAAAAATCCATCCATTCCATGTCACAGCTTTTTGTTTCTGCTTGGTACAAATTAGCTGTTGTCATAAATTGAAACAATTAATAGTGCTGCACCCTGTTGGTAAACCTATAAACTTTTGAATGCTATTGAACATCACAGAATCAAATTGTTTGGTTGAAACAGCTGTTAAGATTCTTTAATTTCATTTAAATATAAGTACTCATAAGGTTAACATGGGGGAAACTCCAGAGCCACTGGGGCGGAGCCGTTTGGATGGATCACAAAATTGATGGTGTAAGTTAAACCTATTCCATGAAATTCTACACTTGTACCAAGTTTCTTGGCCATCCGTCCAGTGCTGTCTGAGGTTATCACTACCAAATATACAAACAAACCAACATCCTCTTTTAGCGAATTTCCAATAAGGAATAAGCTATTACCGTAGGTCTCGTGGTAAGACCTAGACCCGGGACTGATTTACTTTTTCGTTTTGAGGTCCCCAGAGGCCAAAAACATTATCCGTTCAAATTCATATATACATATATATGTGTCCGATATTTCCCTCATTTGAGTTATTTCTTTTCTTGTCTCCTATGTGAAAATTTGCTGACCTTTGTATTATTCTTTTAAGATTTGTCATAGAATAAAGAAAGTTTGACATGTTAAAGCATCACCAAACCCATTAAAAAATAACACAAAACCTTACTTTGTTTAAAAAAAACAAACGTGAGAACTATGTTTGCACAATCAATGGCCTAGGTAAGCAGAAATTGGTAAGAGTGTGTGGAAGCAGCTAAGCTGTTAGTTTCTGGACATCCTTCCTGATCAGCTGATAGTTTAACCTTGGCCTCACTGGTAACCTGTTGTCAGCTGATGATGACTTGTAGAAACTTGCTGGTATTGAAAATGAATATGCCTCTACCTACCATTAGGGGCTTAAAGTTTGTGACCTCCCACTCTTAAATGTTTAGAGGGGAAATTATCTTGTGAAAACGGTTTACATTTTCTTAACAAAATGTTAACACTTGGATTATAAACAATTGTCAGATGGCTAATCATCCAAAATTTGTTTGCATTCAAATAATAATATATACAAACATAATATCTAAAAAAAAAAATAAATAAACACTGAGGTATTAATTTGATAATGATCTTATCTAAAAACTTTAAACAGTAAAGTAAGATATTTATTATTGAAGTTACTGCAGCATGACTTTAAAGTATGTTTCTGCACTCATTTGTCATTATTGGACCAATTGAGCAAATGTTAGTACAGACTTGTTCAACTGCCATCATCCCACTTAAACAAACTTATAAATCTCAAGTTAATTCTATATTTTTTGGACTTTGAGATAACACTTTAAGATCTGGTTATCTCTTTTTGTGTATAATCCTTTATGAAAGTAAAATCCATACATTTTTTTTATAAGTGCGTGAGTTGGATTTTGTTTACAAAAACACCTTATTACATGTAAATTAATACAAATTGTATAATATATGTAAATTGTACACTAGCGCAATTATATAAAGAATTTTAATTGATTTGGCCCTTTAACTTAAATAAAATGGCTATAATATCTATAAAACAGAACAGCAAAAGCAATATTCGGTGGTGGCTGTTTTGTTGGATAATCTGCCTTTGTCAACTTTTCTATCTAGATTGTATATTTCAATTATCTTGCTGGTTTTTTTACCAACCAAACGGATGGCTATATCTTTTAAAAAGGAACAGTTAAAAAGATTTTGTAATTCTTTCCAATCTAGTTATCTACAATGAATGTGGCAGTGCTCACCCATCACCAGTCTTATTAGAATGTGTAGTCTTTTGCAATACGTTTAATTTCTAACCAAGATGTGTTTTTGTTACAGAAATGATGGACAACGTGTGGTTAGATGGGGCGATCCAAGCCATCAAAGCCCTGGCATTTATGTGTGATATCATCACCTACCCGGTGTACCTGCTGTTGCAGCGACCCTGGGAGAGAAAGCGCCTCTCAAGACGACCTAAGGTTGGTGAAGCATGACCTTTACATACATTTACTAATGTGTTTTCCTAAAGGTCATGTCTTGTTAAAAACATTTTCTTTAGGTCTACTTTATAACCTCTAACTAGTCTATCCAATTTGCATCATGGTGACGTCTGTAATCATCAGTAGATTGGTTTTAGGTCTCTCAAAGACGGAATTTAGTTGGTTTCTGTAACAATTCTTAATTTTTTATAAACAAATTCAAAGTTGTTACACACTAATAAAGAAAGTTTGCTTTTCCAAAGCCTCGAATGCTCATGATGTGGTACGGTAGCTAAAATCACCTCGTCAATGAACTTTGTAAAGTAGGAACACTCGTTCTGTCCGTGATTGTTGGTTACTTATTACATGATCATCAATCACACTTGCCGTTGTTTGAGTGGATGCTTCTAGAACAAGACTGAAACAGCGGATCATACTCCCAATCGAGCAGTATGTAAAGCAAATGTTTTGATAAATACCAATGACTCCATTAGACCGTAACTGAGACATTGAAGTTTTAGAACAGTCTCTTGAGTCAGAACAGGGGCATCCCATCCTTATATGACTAGGTGAATACTTAATGTTCTATATCCTGTCTGCTTCTAAATCCCCCACAACCCCACCACTATTCATCCTGTACCCCTCTGCGCCCCTCCAACAAAATACTGTTTCTACAATGGCATTAGGACTTAGCGTGGTGCTGCAGCTGAGTATATGACTTATGTGGATTGTTCTGGGTTCATCTATATATTATTAGGCAAGCATGTTTCATTAAAACATTTTTTTCTCAGCTCATGTGCATCGCAGGAAAAATCCTGTCAGAATGATATTTTCTTGTAGATGTGCAGAATCCCTTTATACTAAGATAGACTCAAAAATAAGCTCAACAAACAAATTTTAAATTTGCAAAAAACTAACATGGGCCTTATGGGTTATAATGCTGGTGACGAAATTACAACAAAATATAAACAGAAAATCAAAACAAATAAAAAATAAATTCCAATCACATGTTTTATCTACAGCGTAGGGTGAAAATAGACAGTAGTACAGTACAATTGGATTTTTTTTAGCTAGAAGCAGTTAAGGCCCCAGGTGTGGTGGAATATCTTTGAAGATGATCCTTTTTTGGCTCTTGTGCGATCATGTGTTCATACGTGTCAAATTTTGAGGTCAAATCAAAACAAGGCATAATATATTCTTGGAATTAACAATAGTTAAACATACTTACTCTACTTTAATAAAATTACTAGGTCATTAGAGAATATTTACTGTGAAATAGATACGTGATTACTAATTCCAAATCAACTAACGAATAAACTGTTATTTAATTATTGTCTTCAAATTAAGTGATGGTTGCTTTGACAATTTTTGATTTAACATGAGCAAATATTAAAATATTGTATCATATTGCAAAATTCATGTCAATCATTATATTAATGGAATAATGTAGTTGCTGTGACTGGGATACACATGATAAACTGTTGGGACATGATGATGATTTACGTTTCGTTTGGAAAAATCTTAAGACCCAGACATAATAAGTTTACCTGATACCAGACAGGAAAACGTTATACGATAGGCCAAGGAAGTAAGATTTGAGTTTGGTTTATAAAATGCAGTAGCCTTAATGCTGAATGTTTCTTTTTTTAACCTCAACAATTGACATGTGAACATTGAACACATGATTGCACTTACTACAGCTAAAAAGGCACATCCTCAAAGATATTCCACCATATCTCAACGGCTTCTAGCTTAAAAAATCAAACTATCCTACTATAATATTATAAATGAGAAAGATTGGATGTATGGATGTATGTATGTTTGTGACAAGTAAACGCGAAAAATACTGGTCGGATTGGGCTGAAATTTGGCATGATGATAGCTCACATTTCCGATTAACATATAGGCATATTCTTATTTCAAATATCCTTTCGGGCTCCGCCCCAGTTGGTCTGCAGTTCCCCATGTTAACCTTATGAGTATTCATATTTAAAGGGAATTGAAGAAACTTAGCCAGCTGTTTCAACTAAAAGAGTTGGTTCTATGATATGCAAAAACATTAAAAAGTTATCAAATTTACCAACAGGGTGCAGCACTTTTATTTTTTCCATTATTTATGAAAACAGCTAATTTGAACTAAGCAGCAACAAAAAACTGTGATACGCAATGAGAACTGTCAAAGTAGGATTGTTTACAGTTATTTTATTTTTTTATTTCATGAATAATTTGTGATATTTTGCAAATTGTTAATAATCTATCTTTCTCTATTGTGTAGGTGAAGTGGTAGAACATTATGGCTATGGTAGATGTGTAAGTTAATACTATAGTATACCGTAAATTTGGGGAAGCAAATTTTCTCAAACCGTGTCTTCTCACATTGCAAACGCAAAGATCGAGTATAACTGCAATAAGCATTTTATACTTATATGTCAAACCCGTACGAAGGACGGGTACTCTGCTAGTCCTACATATTTTTGGTTGAGTATTTTTTTTTTTACTTGTCAGCAGGTTTTCTGCGGCGGGTGTATTTTTGTTATGCAATGATCCCAGTGGTCATGGACACTCTGTCTTGTTTTGTTGTTATTTTTATTTTCATCAAGCTTGTCCTTTTTATTAACAATATTAGTCTTCTAGGAATTGATGACCATTAATGGGAACATTGTGATCAGTTTGATACAAGGTGTTAAGTTGCCTTTATGCTGTCCAAGTAATCCTTTAAGTCGTCATAAGGGCGACCAGTTTTGATGCCTATGGCATCATAGTCAAGCTGGCATCGAAACCGGTAGCCCTAATGACGACTTAAAGGATTACTTGGGCAGAAAAAGGTAACTTAACCTCTTGTATACAATTCGAGAAGTAATCCGGAAGGCAATACACAAACAAAATAAAAATCAGTTTAACAATGACCTGTTGACAAAAACTATTTGATAGTTAATCTTTTTCTATCATCAGCTATTAAAGCTTAATGCACCACTGGCTATGCTGATCTCCATAGTAAAGGGAGTAGGGATAGGCCTAAAAATATATCAACCAGGAAGAATATTCAATTTCAAACTCTGTACTCTAGTCGTTCAAGTGTCAAACTTGATGGTTAAACAATATCTTCCTCTTTGTCGAAGTGACAAGCGATAAGCTGGTATCAGGTGTAACTCTTTTATGATTTATCGCTACTCTTATTTGATGCAATATTAAGTATACTTGAAAGATAACTGCCAGAGATGCTATTTCTCAAATGGATTATACCTGTACTTGTTTCAATTTTACAATCTTCTGCTGATCCATTTATAGGCTAATTCTAAAATATGAGATTTTCAAATCCATTAAAGAGGGAATTTGTCCTAAAACACATTAGTAATAACACATTAGCTGTCTGAGTAGCTGAGTGGTTAAATTGCTCGCTTAACAATCAAAAGGTCGCCGGCTCGATCCTGAGAAAAGTCAGTAGCTTTTTGATGGAACGAAACCGTACCCAGCTGTTCCTGATCATTGGGCTTTAAATAAATGACCCTGACTGATGAACCAGCTGATCTTAGTCAGTAACAAAGCTACAAAGATCATCTCACACCATTCTAAACTCACCCTTCACTCATATTTGGGTTAAAATACGCACCTAGATGGCGTCCCTATCTCAAATGATTGATAATATTATATTAATTGGTTGAGTTATTATTTAACTTGTAAATTTCAACTATTGAATTGAATAAGATAAACTTGGCCTAACTATTTGGATAGTGGCATAAAACAAATTTTACTTAAAAACAGAACTTTCATTCTATCCTATTTAGACATACACCATGTGAGAAATAAGAAGTGTAATAAGGATTCAGTTATTTTAAACCTGATGCATAATATTAAATCCAAGCATTTATTTCTTTGCTGCCATTATACAAAGTTAAGTCAAGTACAAACTCAATTCCGAAGAGTGTGACGCCAAACTGGTTTTAATACAGATAAGGTTTAAAAACACTTGTGACTTTATTGTGATACTACAAGTTTAAATATTGGGGGTTATCCAACACATCTGAATATTATACTTTAAATCATTGAACATGACATTTTTTTGTGTTAAGCAACTCCAATAACATAAAAGAAACACTGTCTGTTTTGTTTGAAAGTAAAAATGTATTTTTTATATGGTGAACTTACTTGTTATTGAAGAAATCCTCGCTAAAAGCCATATGACTTAATTAGTCCCTAACTGACACCCATTGCACGTCTATAACCTGCTTACACTCCCTAGCTACACAACACTGCAAATATCAATTTTTACCAATAGAAAATGTTAATTTTCTTCTGCACCCAAACTTTATTGTCATTCTAATTTGTTTCCAGGCTAAAATAGTCGCCCAAGACAACAAGACGATTACATACCGCAGCACAGAGCCAATAGGTGATGTACACGCCCAGGTGTTGCGAGCCAAAGTGGACACGCTGGAGAAGATGTTGCTGTACGTGGTGAAGACATTCCGTGACAAGAAATGTCTCGGGACCAGACAGGTGCTGGCCGAGGAGGATGAGATGCAACCCAATGGTCGACTTTTCAAAAAGGTCTGTGTTACGTCAGCTGGTTATTATTTGTCAGTTGTGATTTGATTCTAGGCCCCCTACACTGTTTGTTTATTCGTAAATAACTGATTCACTTTTATCAATTAGCAAACTGATTTTGTGTGAAAAGCAAATAACTTTACAAGATGAGAACACAGAAAAGAATAAGGTCGGTCTAAAATCGATTGCACATCCATCTATGATTATAATATATACAAAATTGAAATATTCTCTTATTTTCAATTAATTTAATATTTGTGGCGTTATAAAATAATAACTTGATCAAATTTAAACAATACCGAGTAAAAGGAAGCAGGGTAAAAACATGTGGTATATTTGTTGCAATTAATATTTCCTTTAAAAAACAGCACAAACTTAAAAACAAAAACTATGATGACCGTAATGCTTAGCCCGAGGGAATACTAACTACAAACACAAACATAGACTTGATTTGGCAGGATTCATTGAATACCTTTGTATGAATAGATAATAGCAAACTAAAAAGAATGCTATCAATAGCAGCAAAAACCCTTTGAAACACTTGATTGTTGATTGACTTAGAATTGTTTTAGTTACATTTTTTTGTTTAGTAGAATAGGACAAACATCAGTTCTCTTGACAGCTTGTTATGTAATCGGTCAAACAGTTTGATTAAGACATGTTAAATGTGGGGTGAAAGGCTATCAAGTCAGTTTAAGCTTATCATTATATTACTTATTACTCTTCCTCAAAGTTTATCCTAGGAAATGTCGAGTTGATCATTCAGTTTACACAATCAGTGGACTTTATTAAGTAATTTTCATTGGAATCTTATTTTTTATTAACTAAAAAATAAAACTTTCTGCACACAATTGTTTTTTGATTATATTAATTCACAGTTGTTCTAAGATAACATGCAATGCCAGCATGGATGTAGATGAAGATGTTGTCTAAGTGATAAAGTGGATGATTGCAATTCAGGTTGAATATCATTCGCATGTCCTTGCTAGGCATAACATAGCTGGGTGCAATAACTTTACTAAATACAAGTGCTTTAAGAGTAATTTCAATACGTCTTATGTGGGAAAGGAAAGGCGCTGCTTTTACAAAAAGGTTTTGTGTAGCTTAGTGGATAAAATACATGATGATTATGATTGATACCGTTATCATAGTAATATTATAAATGTGAAAGTTTGAGTGTTTGTTTGTTTGTTTGAAGTTCAATCACGCATTAACTACTGGCCGGATCGGGTTGAAATTTGGTATGATGATAGCTCACATTATAACACATAGCTCCTGAGTATAACTGCAATAAGAATTTTTTTTCTTAAACGCTAACCCTGTACAAAGGACGGGTACATTGCTAGTCCACTATATGAAGAACTTTTCTATTGCTCTCCAGCGATCTTAGTTTTTTAAGAGTTATTGAAGCTATATACCACTACTCTTTCGTCACATGTGTCGTTCTTTGTTGTTGCGCCTAGAATGTGTTCAAACGTTGTACCCTTGAGATTCATCCACAATTTATTATTGATGTGAAGCTTAGGAATTTAAAACTCTAGTAATTAATGAATAGTGAGGAAAATCAATTGTAAAATAGCCTAAAAGTATTACTAACAACACTAATTCAGTCCCTGAAAAAACTTGAGCAACACCCAAAAACCAGGCTCAAGTCTTTGTATGGCAGATTCTAAACTGGATCTCCGTATCCCAAATACCTCGCACTTCCATATTTCACCAACTGACCCCAGATCAAACACAGACCTTTAAAAAACAATGTAATCATACTGGCAAGGATGATTCGTAGAAGCTCATTGTTCATTGGTCTAGTCATCAGAGTATGGAACTTCTGTCCTGGAGTATAAGGATTAAATTTGGGCAATCACCTACTGCAATTTGTTAAGTGGTGATGTAGTAACACTTTGGATTGGCCCCCTAAGCTGTAGGTATGGTAGTGGATATATATAGGCATGCACTGTTGATGCGATACTCCCTGGTGTTGATTAACGTCCGCACTAGTGAGTACTACGACTTTCTGCAGTACTATCCTAATAGTTAGACCAATTCGTTAATTGCAAGGAAATAATGTGGTTCGGATTCCACTATAAACTCTAGGTCCCTTAGTTGCCATTGGCTGTATGGGCTATTAATTAACAGCTGTGTCTAAGGTATATGTTGGCCTTAGTCACTAACAAGACAACAAGATTGTGCCACTCATCCTTCACTCATCTCCATTTGTTCTTGGCTTAAAATACCTAAATTCGTATGGTCGCCATTTCAGAATAAAGTATAAAGCAAGAACTGCTCCTGTATCGGAGATCTCTCTCCGTATAAAGCCATACAACAATCAAGCGTGTTTGTCATTTGCAGTATGTGATGGGCGACTATCAATGGATGACCTACGAGGATGTCAACAAACACGCAGTCAACTTCGGCAGAGGGCTCCAGGAACTGGGACAGCAGCCCTACAAGAACATTGCAATCTTTGCCGAGACTAGAGCCGAGTGGATGATCGCTGCACATGGTTGCTTCAAACAGAACTTTCCATGTAAGATAATTATGAATTTTTTATAGATTTATTCTGTGTAATGATTACCTGACATATGGTTCTGCTATTCAGTTCAGACATATATTTATATTCAGTTCTGCTATTGATTATTTAATACCATAATATTACAAACATATTGTAAATTTTCAGCTTAGTTATCTGCTATATTTAACAGCAAAAAACACACTTAAAGTCGGGACCACGAAAGTTTGCAGTTGGCGGGAACCAACCACAAGTCAAGGCTAGTGCGACGTTGCCATATCGCCCGTTGACGACACTTATTAAAATACTAAACAATATTTTCAAATCAGCTGGTATTATTAGATTTGGCAACACTGCACTGTTCTCATTGGCTCCTTCGAAGTCACGTGGTAAATAGGCTCCTCCCTTAACTGCAAACTTTCGTGGTCCCGACTTTAGGGTTTATGTTGTGTGTATGTTCAGTAAAAGTGCATTCTAAAGTAAAACATAATAAAATAATGTAGGATACTACCAGTATATTTTATGTAAAAGAATTTGTTGATTTTAAAAATAGTTTAAGCAACTTATTTTAATTTGTCTGTAGGCCCTACATAAAATTAATTTAGGTTTTCTAAGTTTGGTAAAATCAATCAATTATCTTTTTTTAAATATTTTAATTTAAAATATTGTTGAGTTATAATTTTAACTGTTTTGTGTCAGCTGCGGGTTTCTCAATACATGCATTTCTAATGTCAATAAATATTATGAATCATTGAAAGTTTAAATGTTTTTTTAGTGGTAACAATATACGCCACGCTGGGAGAAGACGCTATTGCACATGGCCTCAATGAGACTGAAGTAACTATTGTAGTGACTACACATGAATTGATGCCCAAGATCAAGAACATTCTACATAAGGTAACATTGATCTGCTGTAGCCTTCATTGAAGCAAGTTTTGTTCTTGAAAGTTACCAGTTATCAATACCAATATTGGTCAATAACCTTAATGTGAAACTAGTATAAACATATTAGTTTAACCTATCCTTGAAGAACCTAATGTGTTAGAAGTATTATAAATATAAAAAAAAAAATAAACTTTGAAAGATATAAAAATTGTTAGAAAAAATAAACAAACGAAGAATATTTGACATTAATAATAATATTTTAACTTTAGTGTTGAAGAATGCAAAGTTTTGTATTTCTTGTGCCAGAATCTACTCTTTTTCAATTTTTTATTTATTTTATTTGTCAGGATAGCCTGATACCCGAACAAAAATCAATGAAACGTATTACATATGTCCTATATAAATTATTTTTTAAACATATTTAAACTTAGGAGGAAATAAACAACTGATCTAGGGACAATACATATTTATGACAAAACACCTGCACATATATCGTGTGAACCCTGTACATTATGTACCTAAGAAAAGGCGTTGTCCTTTAATCCAGCTACTTATAGGTCACGAATTGTGGATATTTATTTATATCCATGTTCTTAGGATTTGATACTCCCTGGTGTGGATTAATGTCCGCCCTAGTGAGTATTACGACTATCCGCAGTACTATCCTGATAATTAAACCAATTCGTAAATTACAAGGCAAAAATGTGGTTCAGATTCCACTATAACCTCTTGCTAAGTCCCTTACTCGCCATATCATATATTACATATTAGCCTCAAACTGTGTCCAATTCCAAAATGACAAACCCTTATTGACCAAATTCACAGCCAATGTGAATAGTTGAATCTGATAAGAAACTTGTTTCCAACAGGTGCCGAAGGTGAAGACTATTATCTACATGGAAGACCAGTTACATTCCACCAACACTGAGGGAATGAAGGAAGGCGTAGAGGTGATTCCTTACAAACAGGTGTTGGAGAAAGGCAAGAACAGCGACAAGGATGGAATTGCACCTAAGAAGGACGACATAGCTATCATTATGTACACCAGTGGGTCCACGGGAGTACCCAAAGGTGTACAGATCACCCATCGTAACATGATGGCCACTATGGTGGCATTCTCGGACGCTGCCACAATCTATAATGACGATGTCTTTCTTGGCTTCCTACCACTCGCCCACGTGTTTGAGCTGCTCACAGGTATGCCGGTTTTTTTTATATTTTAGACTAATCTATTACGTACCTCGTCTTGCAGTTCAAATATAGTGTTTGAAGTCCACTACATATGTTTCGCCAAATTTGGCATTCTCAAGTCATATTTGGCGAAACATATGTAGTGGACTTCAAACACTATATTTGAACTGCATGACGAGGTAGGTAATAGTTTATTCTATACTAGGCAGTTCAGGGGCTACAAAATGTAATTTATTTTTTACATTTTAGTAGGTAATGTATTGATGTAATTTATCACACATCGGTGTAGGTACCGAAACATGCTAGAAGTATGTAAGGGTGGTTGAGCTTAAATTCAAAACTTTTCACTTTTATCTACTGCAGTGTTTCTAAAGAATTAGTTGTTAAGAGAAACACTGTGTTACAATAGTTTAAAATAATGTTTTGATACATCATGTTTTGACTGGGACGGGTGGCGTCGTCCTGTAATCCAGCTACTAGGAGGTCACGAATTGTGGATAATTATAGGGATGCACTGTGGATGCGATGCTACCTGGTGTGGATTAACGTCCGCACTAGTGAGTACTACGACTATCCGCAGTACTATCCTAAATAATTAGACCAATTCGTTAATTACGAGGAAAAAAAAATGTGGTTCGGATTCCACAATAAACTGTAGGTCCCTTAGTTGCCATTAGCTGTATGGGCTATTAATTAACAGCTGTGTCTAAGGAACATGTCGGCCTTAGTCACTAACAAGACTACAAGATCGCGCCACTCATCCTACACTCATCCTTCACTCATATTTGGGTTAAAATACGCACATAGTGGTGTCCCCATCTTAAATAATTGATAATTGATAATTGATCACAATTAACAAAGAAGTTTAAAAGAGCCTTAATTCATTAGGTTGATGTATACATTAGCATGTGGTGTGGCATTTAATTTTGAGAAATCCATGAGCAAGTTTTAAGTTAGTTATGTGATAGCAGTGATCCTAAAGGTTTTTTTTTTTCAAAGACAAAAAACTTAACACACTTGTTGGTTAATTGTTAGTAATAATGTCAAAAGCGGCAGAGTTTAACTGTTTGTGTCTATTACAGAATCGGTCTGTCTCCTGTGTGGAGTGTCTATAGGCTACTCGACACCCCTCACTATGATAGACACCAGCAGTAAGATCAAGAAGGGCACTAAGGGAGACGCCAGTGTACTGCATCCAACCTGCATGACCTCTGTCCCGGTAACTTTCTCTCTATTTTTACTCTTATTTTCTCACTCTATACTTAGTATGTGGAGAAAGTCCCATTTCAAAAAACATTTTTGAGTTTGAGTTTTTGAAATTTAGAGCTATATAAATTAATTCAGTTATTACCCACTTGCCAAATTTTATCAAAATAAAACAAAACACCTTGAGACAAAACTTTATGAATTTTTCTTTTCTCCAGGTGTCTACAAAATTGTAGAGCTAAAAAAAAACAAATAATTTAGTATATTGAAGCATTGCTGTAATATGTCTAACGGTTACAGAAAAAATCCCAAAAAAGTGTAATTTGAAATTACCATGTTATTCTTATGGAGAATAAATAAACTGTTGTAGCTTGCTTGTCTATCGACATATTTTAATGAAATTTTGTTTACTTCATACTAAGCTATCAATAATATTTCAATAAAAAACTCCCCTATTTCTTCCCTGTAGCAGCTAACCTAAGTACTCATGAAAATTAATGATATTTAAATGGAAATAAATCTGTCAATTTTAAGGGAATAATTTAGTGGAATCCCAGCCAGGTGGATGGAAATTTTCTTAGCCTGCAGGTTTGCTGCGGCGGGGGTATTTGAATTTTAAAAGACGATTTTCCCATAAAACCACGTAAAATAACATAAATAAGATATACTCAAGAACGGCTTAAACCATTTTAGTTCAAATTTAGTAGGTTAAAGGTCCTTTTAACTAAATAAAATGGTACAACATTGTAAAAATTGTTGTCAAAAGTAATTTCAATTCTTGTGTTCTTACCCATAAAATATCATAGCTACTCTGTCAACCCATTATAAGCTGGGTTGTTGACAAGCTAATGGCCAAAAAAGTATGTGTCAGATTACTGATACTTGCTATTTTAGTAATACAATGATTGTTGTTTGTGACATATATCCTTTTAAAGTAGGCTACCTTGAGTAATGATTACAGTGTAATGTAGTAAAAACAAGAACTAAACGTACCTGATGAATATTAATAACAAAAAGAAAATTTTTTATTCAATTTATTTTTTAACATAGCCTACTAGTAATTAATATTCCATTATATATAAAAAGAAGTATGAATTACAATTCCTCAAACCTAATACAAACACAGTATACGTTTATGTAGTAAAAGCCTTACGTGTTTTATGCTTAATTTTCACTAAAACAATGTATTTCCAACGTGTTCAAACTGTACAAGTTACACTTAATGTTCTTTTCAGCTCATCCTTGATCGAATATACAAGGGAGTGAACGAGAAGTTGTCCAAGGCCAGCCCATTCAAGAGAGCCATCTTTGACTTTGCGTTTAACTACAAAAGAACCTGGATGCGACGAGGGTTCACAACCCCCTTGATTGATAAGTGAGTGATTATTGTGTCATAGGGTTGTAGTTTTTATTGACTATCTCGGTCTAAAACAAAAAGACGAGTCAAAAGATTAAAATAATGAATAAAATCAAGGCTCTAATGCTTTATCTCATTTATCATAGTGATTTCTGGCAATTCAGGATGAGGGTTCTAAGGAAAGCTGAACATTACGTATACAAAATTCAAAGAGTTTAAATTAACAGCAATACCTGTAGAGTATAATAAAAAATTAAAAAAATAACACAGTCAGAGTAGAAGCTACAAAAAGAATAAATTAAAACGTCTAAATTTTTACATCAAGTACCTACCTTAGAAGTATTTTACAGGAGGGCAATAAATTAAAAAGTTGAATAAACAATTATTAACTTAAATGAAATTAATTGAATACCACCTCCTGCTATCAGTCTTTAGTTAATCTTCAAGTGGTGGAGGCCACTATGAATCTACGGACAATCCTCAAAGATTGGCTTCCTAACTTCAACTATTTTGATTCAACTTAATTTTGATTTTGTATTAGTACACACATATATTTTTTTATCCGGAACGAAGAGCCTGTGGCAAGTTTTGAAACTTATCAATGTTCTCCAAATTGTTTTCCTTGTTACAGGTTGATATTCAATCAGACCCGCAAGCTGCTCGGAGGTCGTATCAGGTTGATCCTGTGTGGAGGAGCTCCTCTGTCACCTGACACTCATGAGCTGATCAAGGTGTGTCTGTGTGAAGGAGTCATCCAGGGCTACGGACTGACAGAGACAACGTCTTGTGCAACAGTTATGAGCAGTAAGTTTATGTTAAATATCTGTCAAGTTGTGTTTCAATTAGTAGGCCTACTCGTTGATTTAGATCATCTTGTCTCTTGGTCCTAGTCTTATTCTTCAATCTAGACTGAACTCTTGAACGGATTTCATGTTTTAAGCATCCTCTAAATACATCATCCCTATTTCGAGCGTAGTAGTGTCCATACACTTAGCCTCACTACAAGTTGAGTTGAGAGAAAAATTATGGCCCTTTCATAGCCCCCATAGACTTTCCTTTGACTTCTATATAGATGACAACCAGAATGTTATGAAGACATTTCTTACTTTAATTATATTTTAATATTGTTTTTAAAACGTTTTTATTAGCTCGCTTTCTTGTCAGGTACAAATTTTGCAATCAATTTTATACTAAGTTCCCGATGAGCTAGAGACTTGAAACTTGAAACATAGCTCACAAATGGATGACAATGCAATACAGTAGAACCCCTCATATCCGGCCTTGGTTTTACCGGTCCTCTGTTTATCCGGCCCCTTCCAGGAAGCCAATATCAACATTTTTTTCTCACACCTTACAGACGTTTAGATACAAGCACTAGTCTTTGTGACTGCTTAAGTCGTAAAATAAATTGTTCTCATTATTTATCTGTTTGATAATACATTTATTTGCTGAGTCACTATACTCAGTTGAGCTAGTAGGCCTAACCTCTGATCAGTTGGCTGATTATTTCCAAAGTGGGTTTAGTACAGTACAGTACGAGTACATTAATTTTTGGGGAATGTTGCTGAAAGTCAACAGTCCCGGAAGATCAAATAATTTATACCTGTGCCGCTAGGTCAAAAACTACAATGTTTGCAGTGTCTGTAGATCAAAAGTCCCAGTAAGTCAAATAGTACAGTCCGAGCTAAAAACGTGGTCTATGTTAAAGCAATTGACTTATTGGGAATTTGACCTAATGCAACAGCAGTTTTAATATAACGAAATACGGTAAAATACAAGTTCAGTTTCGCTGAGTCAACAGTGCCGGAAGATCAAAAGCAATAAAAGTGAACGTCGATTCAGTGTAAAGTAGACCTCCTGCAACGCATACTACACCAACAAAACCTGCTTTTAGTTACTTCGTGTTTTGTCATAATTAGAATAGAGCTAAAATTATCATATTTGGTACATAGCTTATCTATTAATGCTTCTTGCCAACTGTTTGGTCAACACTGTAAATAGGTATAGTTTATGTAATGAAAAGCCTTTTGTCAAAATTTGTGGCATAAAATACACGCAAGGACGATCTGAAAATTTCTGGTTATTATATACGTTTGTAAAAGGAGATCCATTTAATTGTAGAACTATTTTATGAGTTATAATGTAGTCTACATATAAACTGTGTAAATGTATTACGCCTCGGAAGGGTTGAAACCTGTCCAAACTATCATATATATTATTAAAACGTAAATGGGTTTTTTTCACGATTCTGAATAAATCAGACGATGGATTTTCATTAGTTTTGTGTTGAAAGAAAGACAATTTTGAGAACTAGGGAATGTCAAAGCCATAATTATAATTAATGGTCCCAGTTTTTTTAGAAATTAAGTTTTAATTTTTAAAAAGTCTAGCAGCCGACGCTAACCTTCTAAGCTAGCTTTTAGTACAATATAATTTGCTTAACATAACAGATGTAAACATTCAGCATTTGTGACACAAATTCAGCATTTGGAAACAAATTTAAAGACATATTTAGAGTTGACTTATTTATACTATGTGTAATGCTGACCATTGATACATTCAATTCTTAGGTATGAGGATGCAGATTAATTAAATATGCATAGTAAAATAGTAGGATGTTCAAATTATTTTTTAAAGGAATCTTTGTAATCATTGATTTGTTTTAGTCCCATATAATTTGTTTTAACTAACAACTGGTTGAATGTAATATTGTTCTATATAACTATTAGGTTTTTGGCGAATTTCCCATAAAGGGAATAAGCTATTACCGTAGTACTTATGGTAACACCTGGACCCAGGACCGATTTAATTTTTCGTTTTGAGGTCCCTAGAGGCCAAAAACACCATCCGTTCAAATTCATACATACAGGGTGATCAACTCTAGGAGGCCACCATTGGGAAATCGGAAACGGTAGGAATTAGAAAAAACTTGTAATGCGGGACATTCTTTTATTTTTTGTGGCAGTTAAAAATATGATTTTAGTTTTTTTATCATGTTTTAGGATATAATATGCAATTTAAAAACTTTTTTAGCCTTGACATTTTTTCGATAAACCCACTCGTTTAGGAGTACAGCCTATGGAAAAATGACTTCCGGTGTACATTTTACATCATTTACCTCCTAAACGAGTAAGTTTAGAGCAAAATTGCAAAAAGTAAATTAGTCTTAGAATTGCATCTACATTTCTACTATAAAGATAGTAGACTAAAGATACTAGACTATAAAATAAAAGGTTTTCCACTTTTCAAGTTTGCCGCCAGTTTTTAAATAATATAATTCATATTTTTAATGAATTTTATGGTCTTTTTTGGAATGTGGATGCAGTTGTAAGACTTTTTTACTCTTCGCATTTTTTCTATAAACTTACTTGTTTAGGAGCTACATGATGTAAAATGTACACCGGGAGTCATTTTTTCATAGGCTGTACTCCTAAACGAGTGGGTTTATCGAAAAAATGTCAAGGCTAAAAAAGTTTTTAAATTGCCTATTCTATCCGAAAACATGCTAAAATATAGGGTGTTCCATGAGAAATTTTCAATTTGGCTGCCATTTTGGAAAATGGTGGGTGAGTTAAAAAAAACTAAAATCATATTTTTAACTGTCACAAAAAATAAAGGAATGTCCCCCATTTTAAGTTTTCTCTAATTCTTACCGTTTCCGATATCCCAATGGTGGCCTCCTTGAGTTGATCACTCTGTATAGCCTATATTTATTTATTTATATATTTTTCCCGGGGGGAACCCCAGGACCCCCCAGGCCCCCGGTGACCCCCCCCCCCAAAATATATGTCTGGGACCGCCCTTGTCTTCTTTACCTATAAAACACATGGGATACAGCCTTTCTTCACTGATCACGTAATGCGTGATTTTCTATAAAGTCTTGGAAAAATAAAAGTTAAAATAGATAGAATACAGGTGTACTGTATGTGGTTTACACACAAATATTCATCAAACTGTGTGATATTTTGTAATTGCAATGAACAATTTGAGAGTATCGTATTGTTTAAGTCGATGAAAATCTCTGTTGATCCTGTTTTACAAGCAAACCAAAAAGATACAGTAGTCACCACTCTATGCGACATATTCTAACCAGAAAAATTGTAATCGTATGATTCTATAAGCATTGGTAGGATTGCAAAGTACTACACAAACATCATTTCAAGGGTAATAACAGTCACAATTTCCGCTGACTTTAAAAGAGTCAACTAAACTATTATAATAATGGACACACAACTAAATGGAACAACTAATGGAAATTCTCACGATGTACATTCGTTCGATATAAGCATTGAGTATACACGTCAGTACATACGTGTATACCCAATGATATAAGCAACGGTTCTTGCAATTTATTGCTTATTGTTTTTTAGAGTTGTTTTCGGACTGATTCTGTTTTCGGACTTACTCACACTCGTATAAGGTTTTCCACGTTTGTCATTGATAATGTAGCCATGTTGCTTTGAAATGGCGACCATACAAATGTATGCATTTAAAGCCAAGTATGAATGGAGATGAGTGTGGGATGAGTGGAGCGATCTTTTTGTCCTGTTTGTGACTAAGGCCGACATAATCCTTAGACACAGCTGTTAATTAATAGTGCATACAGTCAATTAATAGCAGCAGAGGTCAAGTTTGGTATCAAATTAAAGGTTTTATTCATAAAAATACATTGCCGCAAACCCAAACTCAAACGATGATGATGATAATAACGTTATTTATGTCGCTAAAACGTATCGTTTGAAATTTAGCAGCTGAAAATAAGTGAAATAGAAAAGGTTTTGGTTAAATCCATCAAATTGTAATTGGACACTAGTAAATACTAGTGCACTTGTTGCTACCTCCCCCCTTCGGTTTCATGTATTCCTCTCAATCAGTTCAAACCTAGGAGTATTAAACCAATAAAACGATATAATCATAAACAATAACTGGTCTCCTAGTTATATAACCAAACAGTAAAGCAAATACCCCCGTCACAGCAAACCTGCAGACTTAGCGAATTTCCATCTTCCTGATTGGATTTAAACTAAAATGTCCCCTAAAAATATCACATTTATTCCCTATTTAAACAGAATAAGTTTAATGAGTACTTAGGTTTGCTGCAACAGGGAGGGTAAAAAAGTTTTTTTAATGTAAAATATTAAAAGGTACTGTGGTTTAGTAAGAAATTAATGTATTTTCCAAATTTGATCAAAATATGTTCATAAACAAGCAAACTACAACAGTTGACTTATTCTCCATAAGAATAACATGGGAATTTTAAAATTACAATTTTTTTGAATTTTCTCCGTAACAATCAGGCGCATAATAATGCTTCAATATACTAAATTATTTGTTTTTTTAAGCTCTACAAAATGGTTTAAAAATAAATTGTGAAATTTTGTGTTTTTAGGGTCAAAAATGGGAAAAACCTATTTTTACCCCATAAAACCCCCCATAAACCCCCGTTCCCATAGTCCGATCATGCTGGTTCGCGAACTCATTCAAGTTTATCCCGCCTTACACCTTTAAACCAAATTTTATCATAATTTATTTTTGTAAAAAAATACAACCGACTTCAAATGCTCTAAAAAGAATGAAATAATTTCAATAAAGTAAACTTTTGTATTAGGCAAGCTCACGTATTTTAAGTTGGCGCGGCTCTATGATGATTTTTGATACAAAATTGAAAGAGGGTGTCCATATTGCAGGTGACTATCTATAACTAAAGGCGTTAATCTGCATGTCTTTCTCATAGTTATGCGTTAAGTGTTATTTTATTACCGTAATCAGAGATCGGCATTATAGTGGTATTAACGGCTTCTTTT